ATTTTCTCTTTAAAGGCTTCTATCATCTTCATAAAGTTTTTTTTTCTTTTTAATGGGTAGCCCAGGCTGGCCTCGAACTCTTGATCCTCCTGCCTTGGCCTCCTTCAGCAAATCCTACCGGTGTGCGCCACCACAACCGGCCATAAAGTTCTTTTAAGGTCACTTTCTTTTGCTTCTTCTGTGTTGTGATGATCAGGTCTTGCTGTCGTAGAACCACTGGGTTCTGATGGTGCCATATTCTCTCTATGATGTTGTATGTATTCTTGCACTGGCATCTACTCATCTCTTCCTCTAATCAAAGCATGATGTGTCTGTGTCTGAGGGAGTTGCTCTTGGTCCAGTCTGTGCTGGCTGTGTCTCTGTCTCAGGGGGCCACTCTTGGTCCAGTCGTAGCTCTTGGTCTAATTGGACCTGGCAGATTCTGTGTCTCAGGGAGCTGCTCTTGGTCCAATCAGAGCTGGTGGATTATGTTTCTCAGGTTGCAGCTGAGGTCACAGGGAGATGGGTGGGTTGAGGCAGGGAGTGGGTCTTGTAGATTTCAGGGACTGATGAGGGGGTGTTGGTGGGGAAGCCTGACTGCAAGAATCTTCCTTCCTGTCCTGCATCTAGTGCAGTGATGGGTGGGAGTGGCGAGCATAAGTTGTGCCTTAGAGCCTGGGTCCTAGAGGCTGGACTTTGGGTGGGAGAGGAGTCACTCACCCCTTGGTTTAATCAGAGCTGACAGATTCTGTATCTCAGGAAGCTGCTGAGGTCACAGGGGGATGGGTGGGTTTGGGTTAGTGTGTGGGTCTTTAGATTGCAGAGTCCAATAGTTGGTGTTGGTGCGGAAGCCTGCCCACAGGAGGCTTCCCTGCTGGCTGGCAACTGGGGCATAGATGGGTGGGCATTGTCTACTTTGTATTTTTTTGTTGTTAAACTTGTGTAATGTTTCTTCTTTTCTGGAAATTTATAAATTATAACATTATTATAGAAGTTTCACTTAAGATTTGATCTCAAAAGAAAGTAAATCTACTATCTTCAGATAGTTGGATGGTATTTATATATCAGTTAGAGGGAAAAATTTTGTCTTAACATCAAATCTTTCCATCCAAGATATTTTAAATGGATAACTAATTGTATACCCAAAATAAAATTTTTCATAAAATTATATATGTTTAAAGGAAAATGAGTGAATTACTCAATGACTTTAATAATTTTCAAGTTACATTTTAGAGCCTTATATTTCCTAAATAATGAAGCATACAAAAAATTTTGTTTCTCTATCTTATTTTATTTCATATTTATGTAGGGTATTTCTTTTTCAATGGCTTTTCAGTTTTTTTGGATTCACTGTTAAAAAATCATATCAATTTGATTGAGGCAAATATTTTGCTTCTTTAAAATTATTATTCACGTATGTCCTTTGTAGAAATTGGTACTTTTCTGAAAGATGTTTTCATCCAAGGATATCAGGTAGTATTACCATACTCACACCATGACCTCTTATCTCATCCCTCTATTACCAAACATTTCCCCATTCTACTCATATTTAGTTTCACACACATCAACATACACTCACACACATGTGTATGATTTTGTTTTGTTTTATGTCTGTCAACTACTTACATCAATGCAATTGGAGGCCAGGAGAGGGCTTCAGATCCTCTGGGACTGTAGTTACAAATGGTTGTGAACTGTTGTGTGGGTGCTGGGAACCAAATCTGGGTCCTCTGGAAGAACAGTCAGTGTTCCTAGCTGTTGAATCATCTTGCCATCCTCATGTATGTATTTTAATTTAAAATTTTTATTGAGAATTTCATAGATGAATACTGTGTTTACATCATTTACACCTCTCTATCTCTGTCTCCCTCCACCAACTCCTCATATATCCCTCTCAAATTCAAGGTCTTTTATTCTTTTTTTTTTTTTTTTTTTTTTTTTTTTTTTTTTTTTTTTTTTTTTTTTTTTTTTTTTTTTTTTTTTTTTTTTTTTTTTTTTTTTTTTGACAGTTGAGTCTTTTAATAGAAAAAAACTACACGTGCAACAGTAGCAACACACATTTCTTCCAATCCGGACAGCTCTGGGTTCAGTTCTTCACTTTGGGAGGCGGCCTGTACACACCTACAACCACAGCGTGGTCCCGCTCGTAGGGCTCGAGCGTCAGCTGCTCCTGGGGCTTCATGTTCTCTTGCTGCATCTTCTTCACTTCGGATGCAAACACAGCTTCTGCTGAGGCCGTGGAATCGATGCAGTTGGCCTTAATGGAAATCACAAAGTGTCCTCCATTCCGCAGGAAGGTGTGGGCATTCAGGGCCACAATCCGGGTTTGGTCTGGTTGCGCCACATCAGCAAAGATCACATCCACCATTGCGATAAGCATGCGGTATTTGTGTGGATGCCGAGCATCTTCAATCACAGGAATAATGTTGGTCCTCTTCTTGGCCAAGTTGATGAGGTCACGGCCAGAACGGTGGGAGAATTCAACTGCATAGACCAGACCATCCGGGCCAACAATATCAGAGACATGAGAGACGGTGGTGCCTGAGGCTGCCCCAAGGTAGAGCACCTTTGCCCCTGGTTTGATGTGGATCTGGTCTACGCCTCCCAGGATTGCTGCTGCCAGCTTGGAACGGAAGGGGTTCCAGGCTCGGTACTCAATTTTGTCATCTCCCTCTGAAATAGAGACTCTCTTCTCCCCATATACGGATTCTCCAGGGACCAGATTCTTTGTGACAAGGGCATCCTCCTTTCCTCGACAGATAAAGACACCTTCATGCCGATGCGGTTCCACCATGACATTCTTCCCTGACTGGTTGCCTCTTTTGCCTCCCCGGCCACCACCTCGACCCCGGCCGCCCCCAGACTGGAAGCCTCCACCTCGTCCACCTCCTCCTCCTCCACCTCCTCGTCCCCTGAAGCCTCCACCTCCACCTCGACCTCGACCTCCACCTCCACCAAAGCCTCCTCGTCCCCCGCCAAAGCCTCCTCGTCCGCCTCGTCCTCCTCCTCTACCGCCTCTGTCACCAAAGCCTCCTCTGCCACCAAAGCCGCCCCCACGGGGGCTGAAACCTGGCTTCATCACTGCGTCCTGGTCGCGCGGCCCCGGCGATCGGCGGTGTCCCCTGCTCCACGACTCCAAGGTCTTTTATTCTTTAATTCTTCTTCTTCTTCTTCTTCTTCTTCTTCTTCTTCTTCTTCTTCTTCTTCTTCTTCTTCTTCTTCTTCTTCTCTCTCTCTCTCTCTCTCTCTCTCTCTCTCTCTCTCTCTCTCTCTCTCTCTCTCTCTTTCTCTCTCTCTCTCTTTCATACACACACACAGACACACACACACACTCAAAAACCTACTAGGTCAATTTGTTGTTATTTCTATGTACATTTGTTTAAGACTGACCACTTGGGATTGAATAATCTATTTGGAAGTCCTTCCCTGTAGAAAACTGATTCTCTATCCTAGAAGCCATTGCCTGTTTATAACTCATCATCTAGGGTTGGGGTCTTGTGAAATTTTCCACATCCACATTGGCATATCAACTGTATTGTCATTATTTAGGTCTTGTTTTTGGCTGCCCCATTGTTGATATATCATGGGTGCAGCTACCCTGCTATGTCTAGAAAACACAATATCACAGCAGGTATGCTGCTTATCTGACTCTAAGCAATCTTTTTGACATGTTTTCCATGATTTTCCTTTGGACTTCCAAATAGGAGTTGTATTGTATATGTGTTAATTAGGATTGGACACTCATGGTCACTTCCCTGCATTTTGACCAGTTTTGAAACTCTGTATTGGCCTCCATCTGCTGCAAAATGATGCTTCTTTAATAAGGCATGAGAGGTATCATGTGAATGAATTTGTGTATGTCTATGTAACACCTATAAGTGAGACACATTTTGTGATTTTCATCCTTCTGAGTCTGTTTTTTTTTTAAGATTTATTTATTTATCGTGTATACAGTGTTCTGTCTGCACATATGACTGCAGGCCAGAAAAGGGCACCAGATCTCACTATAGATGGTTGTGAGCCACCATGTGGTTGCTGGGAATTGAACTCAGGACCTCTGGAAGAGTAGTCAGTGCTCTTAACCTCTGAGCCATCTCTCCAGCCCCCTGAGTTTGTTTTACTTGGCTTAATATAATGATCTCTAGTTGCACCTATTGAAAGCAGTGTATCTTTCACACCATTTTTCTGCTTCAAATGTTTATATCTGCAATATTACATAGAGTATGTAAGCATACACATGTACATTGATAACTATATATATTGTATTTTTAAATATATCTATTATTACAAACCATTCATATCAAGATATCCAGTTAATATGTTTTTATGTGTTTATTATTTTGCCACTCTCTGTAGACATGTATTATCTATAACTAGAATACATCAATGTGTGTATTTGTGTGTGTGTGTGTGTGTGTGTGTGTGTGTGTGTGTGTGTGTGTGTGTGTGTTATAATGGTAACTATGTATCTTTATGAGTTTCATTGTAGTTATTTTAATTAACAAGATGCTGAATAGATTATGAAGCACCACTAGAATTAGCTGTGGTAGATAAAGTGCACAAAGTCTCATTCTGTTACTCCTCTGGTCTCCTGACTTCAGGACCACTGGAGGAGCAGCCTTCACAGCCTGGATCCTGGGTCCTTAGCTGGTGACTCAGTGAAAAGTCATCTCAAGGGAGATTAGCTTTCATCACCCTGTATTCCACACTGGGCAGAGATCAAAGGAGGCTTCATTAATTCTGAAGTGGGAGAATATTTTTTTTCATCCTTAGCTCTTAGGAGTCAGATACCTTTCTTCCAAAGCAATTCATACTTAATTTCTGACCAGATAGGGAGTACTGGAGCTGTAGAATTCATTAAGACAACCAGAGGGAGCTCTGCCATATCAGGGAAAGGATCTTCAAGAAATTATGTAATGAGGAAATTATGCAAGTAATAAAGGAAATAACATAAAGCCCATGAGAAAGGCTCAGGTCTCTTAAGTACTTAATACAGCCTACCTCTTTTCTTTGTTTATCAGGAGCATCTGAGATGATCAGCTCATCAAAAGTCAAGATAGATGAGTAACAGGAGTTCTTCATTAAGGGATGGATGCAGAGAATCAAGTTTTCCTTTTCCAGTGAAGTCAGTGGCTGAGGGTGGAAATCCACTCATTTGGCAGTGACTTTGGTCTGGCCTGACCTGTTTGTGTACAATCTCCAGCCTCACAACCCCAGAATCATACAGTGGACAACCTCATCCGGATGGCTATGGTTGGCTTGGTCTTCCTAGTGTTTGGGATTCTGCAATTCAAGACTTGGTACAGCCACAGACAGATCTGATATGTACCTGGGAGATGATCAGAAGAGACAGCAGCATCCTTCTTGCTGGCAGATTCTGAGAAATAGGTCTGCGGATTCAAAGGGTTTTTGTAAGAAAATCTGGGGTTTATGTTTGAAACTGTTTTCAGTATTGTTCAGGGAGCAATTGTTTTGGGTTGAAGGAGAGGTCTGGATGTTGGGGTACAGAGCTTTTCCCTACCAGATTAAGTTTCTCTTTACTGTGTTGTGAGCTTTTGTTGAGTGATGCCTCCTCTCTTACTACATGGCACAGGGAAAATCATGTCCTAAAGCCTAGTTTGGTTCTTAACCTCAACCATCTTCTAATTTCTCTAACTTTAATATAACATTTTCCTTAATTATATATCATCATACTCCCTATTCCACTGTGAGATTCTGTCTTTTCTAATGATAACAAGGTGTTTGGCTCAATAACAGTAACTATGAGCATAAATCAGATTCTAGAAAGAAAAAGGACTGAACAAAAAAATCAAATCCTGAAACTCTCTCTGGATCATCAAACCCTGCAGTTTTCACTACATGGTCATTGTGTGGTTTCTCCTAAAATGTAAAGATAGCCATCAACACACTGGTGTTTGAAGGAGTTCTCCAGTGGGGTACTGTTGACATGGCTTTGTAAATATCATTTTCTAAACATGTTCTGATATGTAACATTTGCTGATTGCTGTATATAATATAATCTCTTCCTGGCCAACTTCATAAAAGACTTGTAAATTCATGTGTGAAAAGTTTGGAAATGATCCGTGATATTGATGTACTTTCAATCAAATTTATCTGTCAATTGCTGCCACATTCAAAAGCAATTAACATGTAAATAAATCAACATTTAATGTCTTTGATATAATCATTGAATGGGAGAGATGGATGGTATGTAGGCTGTTGTCCTCAAAGGCATAACTGCATGTGCCACATATTGGCTATCAGCATAAATATCTACACTCTCATCAGAAAACATCTGTAAAGCAAGCAACAGTGCCTGTACCTCCACCATCTGGCTGGAAGTGGCCTGGACTTTCATTCTCTTCACTATGTTACCAGAAACTACCACAGCAAAACCACGTGAAGTGCCATCAGTAAATACCACATGGGCCTGAGGAATAGGAGTCATCTGTACTATCTTGAGAAATATAACAGGATGCAATTTAAAAAATTTACACACATCATTGGAGGGGTAGTGAGTATCAAATTGACCCTGCATGGAGCATGTCAATATGGCCCAATCATTATCACTAGCTTGCAACCATGCTATTTGAGACTGGGTGTATGGGGTCACCACAATATCTGGCTCCTTACCAAAAGTTTGAACACTGATCTTGATTCCCTTAAATATAATCTGAGCAACAGCCTGAGGATACTGAGTAATGGTTTTCGTTGGAGAAGCCGGGGAATGTACCCATAGAATAGGACCTGTTTGCCAAAACACTCCAGTAGGTGAATGAGAAAAACAAAATATCAAATACAAAAAGGAAGAAGAAAGATCTATATATTGCATGTGAGCCTGCTCCAGGGCCTCTTGCACACATTGTAGGGCTGTACGCCCTTCAGCTGTTAATTCACGGGGAGATAAAGGGTCAGGGTCGCCCTTTAAGACATCATACAAGGGACGAAGTTGACCTGTTGGAATCTTTAAAGTGGATCGAAGCCATTGAATATCCCCTAGAAAGGTTTGGAAATCATTAAGTGTGTGTAGCTGATCCACATGCAGAATAATCTTTTGTGGGCGTATGCCTGTGCATAACAATTTATGACCTAAATAATGTTAGGGAAAGGATACCCATACCTTTTCTGGGGCTATTTGTAAATTAGCCAGCCTAAGAACCTCTTGTAATTTAGAAAAGGCATCAAAAACAAGTTTTTATCTTTAGCAGCCAATAAAATATAAGTCAGTCACAATTAAATGCCAATATTTAGGAATTGCCACAGGGGCAGGCAAGCCAGGCTGTGTTGCTCCCATGAGAAGCATGGTTTTATTTACAGCTCTAAGATCCCTTAATAGCCTCCATTTTCCTGACTTTTTGTAGAGGCCAGTTGGGAATCTCAGGATTCTTGTGAAATTATAACTATGTCCAGCACCAGAATCCAGTAATCTTTCAATCTCAATCCCATATAATTTTCTTTTTTTTTTCTTTTTTTTTTTTATTAATTTATTTTGCAATACAATTCAGTTCTACATATCAGCCACGGATTCCCTTGTTCTCCCCCCTCCCGTCCCCCCTCACCTTCCCCCCAACCCCCCCCCCCCCATTCCCATCTCCTCCAGGGCAAAGCCTTCCCCACAGACTGAGGTCAACCTGGTAGACTCAGTCCAGGTAGGTCTAGTCCCCTCCTCCCAGGCCGAGCCAAACAATCCTGCATAGGCCCCAGGTTTCAAACAGCCAACTCATGCAATGAGCACAAGATCTGGTCCCACTGCCTGGATGCCTCCCAAACAGATCAAGCCAATCAACTGTCTCATCCATTCAGAGGGCCTGATCCAGTGGGGACCCCTCAGCCATTGGTTCATAGTTCATGTGTTTCCATTCATTTGGCTATTTGTCCCTGTGCTTTATCCAACCTTGGTCTCAACAATTCTCGCTCATATAAACCCTCCTCATTCTCGCTAATTGGACTCCCAGAGATCCACCCGGGGCCTAGTCATGGATCTCTGCATCCAGATCCCTCAGTAGTTGGATGAGGTTTCTAGCACAACAATTAGGGTGTTTGGCCATCCCATCACCAGAGTAGGTCAGTTCGGGCTGTCTCTCGACCACTGCCAGCAGTCTGTTGTGTGGGTATCTTTGTGGATTTCTGTGGGCCTCTCTAGCACTTTGCTTCTTCCTATTCTCATGTGGTCTTTATTTACCATGGTCTCCTATTCCTTGTTCTCCCTCTCTGTTGTTGATCCAGCTGGGATCTCCCGCTCCCCCAAGCTCTCTTTCCCTCAACCCTCGCCTTTCATTACCCCCACTCATGTCCAGGCTGTTCATGTAGATCTCATTCCATTTCTCTGTCATTGGGCGATCCCTGTGTCTTTCTTGGGGTCCTGTTTTCCAGGTAGCCTCCCTGGTGATGTGAGTAGCAGACAAGTCATCCTTGTTTCATGTCTAGTATCTTGCTATGAGTGAGTACATACCATGTTTGTCTTTCTGAGTCTGGGTTACCTCACTCAGGATGATTTTTTCTAGATCCATCCATTTGTCTGTAAACCTCATGATGCCATTGTTTTTCTCTGCTGAATAGTATTCCATTGTGTATATGTACCACATTTTGTTTATCCATTCTTCAGTTGAAGGGCATCTGGGTTGTTTCCATGTTCTGGCTATTACAAACAATGCTGATATGAACATAACTGAACAAGTGCTCTTATGGTGTGGTTGAGCATTTCTTGGGTATATGCCCAAGAGTGGTATAGCTGGATCTTGGGGGAGATTGATTCCCAATTTTCTAAGAAAGCGCCATATTGATTTCCAAAGTGGTTGTACAAGCTTGCATTCCCACCAGCAGTGGAGGAGAGTTCCCCTAGCTCCACATCCTCTCCAGCATAAGGTGTCTTCAGTGTTTTTGATCTTAGCCATTCTGACAGGCGTAAGGTGGTATCTCAGAGTTGTTTTGATTTGCATTTCCCTGATGATTAGGGATGTTGAGCAGTTCCTTAAATGTCTTTCGGCCATTTGAGTTTCCTCTGTTGAGAATTCTCTGTTTAGCTCTATAGCCCATTTCTTAATTGGACTGTTGGGCATTTTGATGTCTAATTTCTTGAATTCCTTATATATTCTGGATATCAATCCTCTGTCAGATGTGGGGTTGGTGAAGATCTTTTCCCATTCTGTAGGCTGTCGCTTTGCCTTGTTGACTGTATCCTTTGCTCTACAAAAGCTTCTCAGTTTCAAGAGGTCCCATTGATTGATTGTTTGTCTCAGAGTCTGTGCTACTGGTGTTCTATTTAGGAAGTAGTCTCCTATGCCAATGCGTTCAAGACTACTTCCTACTTTCTCTTCTAGCAGGTTCAGAGTAGCTGGATTTATGTTGAGGTCCTTGATCCACTTGGACTTAAGTTTTGTGCACGGTGATAGATATGGATCTATTTGCAGCCTTCTACATGTTGATATCCAGTTTTGCCAGCACCATTTGTTGAAGATGCTTTCTTTTTTCCATTGTGCACTTTTGGCTTCTTTGTCAAAAATTATATGTTCATAGGTGTGTGGATTAATGTCAGGGTCTTCAATTCGATTCCATTGGTCCACATGTCGGTTTTTATGCCAGTACCAAGCTGTTTTTATTACTGTAGCTCTATAGTAGAGCTTGAAGTCAGGGATCGTGATGCCTCCAGAAGTTGTGTTATTGTACAGGATTCCTTTGGCTATCCTGGGTTTTTTGTTTTTCCATATGAAGTTGAGTATTATTTTTTCCAGGTCTGTGAAGAATTGTGTTGGTATTTTGATGGGGATTGCATTGAATCTGTAGATTGCTTTTGGTAGGATTGCCATTTTTACTATGTTAGTCCTGCCTATCCATGAGCATGGGAGATCTTTCCATTTTCTGACATCTTCTTCAATTTCTTTTTTCAGGGACTTAAAGTTCTTGTCATATAGGTCCTTCACTTGCTTGGTTAGTGTTACCCCAAGGTATTTTATGTCATTTGTGGCTATAGTAAAGGGTGATGTATCTCTGATTTCCTTCTCCGTTTCTTTGTCCATTGTATATAGGAGGGCTACTGATTTTTTTGAGTTGATCTTGTATCCTGCTATGTTGCTGAAGGTGTTTATAAGCTGTATCAGTTCCTTGGTGGAATCTTTGGGGTCGCTCAAGTATACTATCATGTCATCTGCAAATAGGGAAAGCTTGACTTCTTCCTTTCCAATTTGTATCCCCTTAATCTCCTTATGTTGTCTTATTGCTCTGGCTAGAACTTCAAGTACTATATTGAGTAAGTATGGGGAGAGTGGACAGCCTTGCCTCGTTCCTGATTTTAGTGGAATTGCTTTGAGTTTCTCTCCATTTAATTTGATGTTGGCTGTTGGCTTGCTGTAAATTGCCTTTATTATGTTTAGGTATGTTCCCTGTATTCCTGATCGCTCCAATACCTTTATCATGAAGGGGTGTTGGATTTTGTCAAATGCCTTTTCTGCATCCAGTGAGATGATCATATGGTTTTTTTCTTTGAGTTTGTTTATATGGTGTATTACATTGACGGACTTTCGTATGTTGAACCACCCTTGCATCCCTGGAATGAATCCTACTTGATCATGGTGGATAATTGTTTTGATGTGTTCTTGGAGTCTGTTTGCCAGTATTTTATTGAGTATTTTTGCATCAATGTTCATGAGGGAGATCGGTCTGTAGTTCTCTTTCTTTGTTGTATCCTTGTTTGGTTTAGGAATTAGGGTAATTGTAGCCTCGTAGAAGGAGTTTGGTAATGTTCCTTCTGTTTCTATTGTGTGGAACAATTTAGAGAGTATTGGTATTAACTCTTCTTTGAAGATCTGGTAGAATTCTGCGCTGAAACCATCTGGTCCTGGGCTTTTTTTGGTTGGGAGACTTTTAATGACTGTTTCTATTTCGTTAGGGGTTATTGGACTATTTAAATAGTTTATCTGGTCTTGATTTAACTTAGGTATGTGGTACCTATTCAGAAAGTTATCCATTTCTTTTAGGTTTTCCAGTTTTGTCGAATAGAGGTTTTTGAAGTATGACCTGATAATTCTCTGGATTTCCTCAATGTCTGTTGTTATGTCCCCCTTTTCATTTCTGATTTTGTTAATTTGGATGCTCTCTCTCTGTCTTTTGGTTAGTTTGGATAAGGGCTTGTCTATCTTGTTGATTTTCTCAAAGAACCAACTCTTTGTTTCATTAAT